AACTTAAAAGATGATTCAAAAACCATGAAAGGCTACTTGGAAATTACTTAACTTCTTGATTTTCAGTTTCTTAATAAGTAACACCACACAGGATTTTTGTAAGAATTGAATGAACATGCTTAGTCTACTACTTGGGACCCAGTAGGTGCTCAAAGGGACTTCTCTGGTGACTCAGAGAGTAAAGAATCTGCCACATAGGAGACCTGGGTTCGATCCCTGGGTTGGGAAGATCCCCTGGAGATGGTTACCCACTCCAGTATTCTTGCCTGGAAAATCCTGTGGACAGAGGAGCCTGGCAGGCTACAGTCCATGGGGTTGCAGAGTCAGAAATGACTGAGCAACTAACACCTTTCCTTTCAAGTCTCAGTACTAGTTTTCCTGATCTGCAGTCGTGTCTTAAACCTAACTCAGCAGGTGCACATGCACACACATGATGATAGCTTTACTTCTCCTTCCAGAAGGGCAACATAACACTACTTAATTCAGCCAACAAACACTGAGTTCCTCCTTTGGAGGCTCTTCCCAAGGAAAGTCCAAGCTCCACAGGATGGCTCAGTCTTTCTGTGATTTTCTTTCCTGAACCTCATTGTGAAGAGTGAGGAGAAAAGAGAACTAAAGGCAGGGAACAGGAGACTAAGCCCTCAGAAAGACAAGCACCACCAAGCAAGGTAGGTAGGCCATGTCTGAAGACTGTCTTCAGCGTATTCAACACACACTCCCTGTGCAAGCCCTCAACTAGGACGATACTGTGTCAATTCTGCACTGAAGAGTGTTCAGGTTTCTAAAGGGTAAGCTGCGGTGCTGCAAAGCTGAGCACTTCGCGCCTAAAGCTAAGCGGGTGATTGATGGGAGCGGAACGGTTCGCCATGGGTGCCTTCAGCACCCGCACCCCCACCCCCACCTCCTGCGCCTCCCTCTAGGGGGAACATCTGAGCTGAGGGTGGAGCCTGCTCCCCTGGGAGGATTGGGAGTGGCATTCAGAGAAGGCAGCCTCCTGCCAGGTTGGAGGTCTGGAGGAATGTGGAAGGCCACGTCTCTGCCGACCTCCTCCCCTCTCCACCCCATGACTGTCTCTGCTGGCCTCCTCCAAGACCTGGGGATGTTCTAGCTTTCAGACAGCCGCTGGAGCCTCCTGTCGCTCTGATCTGGGTGATGCAGAATGTCAGGGGGCATGTGTGTGGATAGCAAGGAGGAGCATAGGCTGTTATCCTAGGGAGCAACAGGAATTTCCAATATAGCCACTATCATATCCCCTCCACCCTCAAATATGTCTCTCCCCACACTCACGCTAAGCGAAGTCAACATCAGAGGGTTGGGTCAGGCTCCGTGAGATTCTTCAGAATTCCCAAGAATCTGCCATTGCATCTTGGGAGCTATTCAAGAACTTCCATAAGTGACTTCTGGGAACTTTCCTCCAAATAGAGATCAACATTCTAGGCAAAGTAACTGCCATTTAAATCAAGTAGATCTACCAATGGGACCTGCCACGCAGCAACTTCGTGGCCTCGGTTTTCTCATCAATAAATTGGGGATGACCATATCACTTCTTTTTAAAAAATTATTTATTGAGTTAGCTATTTTTGGTTGCACTGGGTCGTCATTGCTGTGAGTAGGCTTCCTCTAGTTGCAGCGAGGGACTACTCCTCACTGCGGTGCTTCCGCTTCTCCTGTTGCAGAGCCCGCGCTCTCGGGCACTCAGACTCAGAAGTTGTGGCACGCAGGCTTAATTGCTCCACAACATGTGGAATCCTCCCGAATCAGGGACTGAACCCATGTCCCTTACACTGACAGGTGGATTCTTATCCACTGTCCCTCCAGAGAAGTCCTATCACCTCCTTTTAATGGTTGTATTGAGAATGACAGGGGATAGCAGATGTCAAGTGCATCTTACAGTCCCTGGCTCATGACAGAGCCTCAGTAGGTATTAGTCTCCCCCAGTCACTGTCATTTCACATACTTTCAGTAGGAGCTTGCAAGATGACTCCCTTTATCCTGTAAATTTTGCCCGGTGCCCCTTACAGAAAAGTCACAATGAATTTTGGTGACAATTCAAATTTGACTTAAGAAAGATCTCTGGAGCACAAGCTATCTCTGTGTAGGTCCTGGGAGGTAGAGATGATTTCTGATTGCCTATTGCCAAAACCACCCCCAAAATGTAGTGTTTTAAACAACAATGTCTTACTGACCTTGTGGTTCTGTGTGTTGACTTGGTCTAGCTGGCTTGTTTTCATGCAATGACGGTGCTGAGTCATTGGAAGGCCTGTCCAGGCTGGGTGCCCAAGACAACTTTTTCATTGATTTATCTGATGTCTCAGTGCTTCTCTCCATGACATCTGTCTGCAGTAGATCAGCCAGGATTTCTTACTTGGTGGCTTAAGACTCCAAGAGAAAGGAAGTAGAAACTGCCGATCTTAAAGCCTGAGCCTAGGAATGACCTCAGTGGTCATCTGCCCGATTCTAATGACAAAGCAACTACAAGCCAGCCCAGATTCAAGGAGGAAGAGGAACAGATGCTACCTCTCAGTGGGGGAGTAGCATATTTACACAAAGGGGAGAAATTGATTGATAGTGGGCATCTTTACTTTAGAGACAAGCTGCCACCCATGGATACAACATATGCATTCCATGTGGATATAAACGCAAGATGTTTACTCATAAGACTTTTACCACTGGAAATGATGCCACAGTTAGGCACAAATTTAGTAACTGCATCAGATCATTATAGTTTTCACTTGGTGAAGAAGTCTGCATCACCTTGGGAGTCCTTTTCATCCACAAATTTTATCTTCCATGTGAGCACGTCACTCACTTTGTAACTCATTGTTTTGGCTTCAGAGTAAAAACCAAGGCTTCAGATCAGTCAGATGCTGCTTTATGTTTTCCTGTTGTCCCCATGGTCATGGCTCCCAGTGAGTTCTAATTACTCAGCTAATTCTTCCAACTAGAATAAGCCACATCCTTTAAGAGCCCCTTGTACTTCGAAGCACTTACCTGAATTTGTAACTATATTCGTGAGATTGTTGAATTGATTTCCATCTTCCCCACTAGACTCTAAACTCTATGGAGTCAGATACTATTTATCTCCAGAATTTAGACCTGTACTTAGAACATACTGCTGCTGCTGCTGCTAAGTCACTTCACTCATGTCCGACTCTGTGCGACCCCACAGACGGCAGCCCACCAGGCTCCCCCGTCCCTGGGGTTCTCCGGGCAAGAACACTGGAGTGGGCTGCCATTTCCTTCTCCAATGCACGAAAGTGAGAAGTGAGAGTGAAGTCGCTCAGTCGTTCCGACTCTTCGCAACCCCACGGACGGCAGCTCACCAGGCTCCTAGGTCCATGGGATTTTCCAGGCAAGAGTACTGAAGTGGGTGCCATTGCCTTCTCTGTAGAACATACTAGGTGCTCGATAATATTCTTTGAATGAATGGTTTCTTTTCCAGAACTATGGCAGAAAGAAGATCAACCCCATGAAAACAAAAAGAAATATTTTAGAAATTTATTTCAAGAACGTAGTGTTTGATTTTGAAGTATCAGACCTTTGAAACCTTGCTACCCAACTTAAGAAAAGTGAAATCGTTGGATTCTGTGACTCAAGCAGTACAAACGAAAGACTCTTTCAGAAGCACTCTGCAGTGGCAGATGTAACCTCAGGCACATCAGGCTCCGAGAGAGGAACATATCTAGGTTTTGACCTGCACTTACCGCTCCAGCCCCAGCTGTGTTCCTGCATCTCACATTCCTTTCTAGTTGCTTCATACCTGGTTATTCAATGCTTGCTAATGGATATTACAGTTGTAATATCCACTTGGCTTAAAATCTCCCTGAATTCCCTGACCTCCTCAGACAATATCTTGCAAAGTTCTGCCCTACTTCATGCCCACACCCACACAGAACTCTGGAATCCTTGATTAAATTCCAATACCCTGATTCTCAAAGTATTCAGACACAGCCCCATTCCACTTTGGGCCTCCACAAACCACAAACATAGAGGAGTGATAGAACTCCAGAAATCTTTTTATTCTTATTTTTTATTATGGAAAACTCAAAGGCAAAGAAAATACTATCGGGACTTCCCTGGTGGTCCAGTGGTTAAGACTTTGCCTTCCGGTGTAGGGGGTGTGGTTTGATCCCTAGTCAGGGAACTAAGATCCCACATGCCTTGTGGCCAAAAACCCAAAACATGATACAGAAGCAATATTATAACACGTTCAAAAAAGACTTAAAAAAAAAAGAAAATACTATAATACACTTTGATGTATTCATCATGTAGCTTTAATTATCATCCACTCATGACCAGCCTTTTTCCAGCCACATCTCCACCCACTTCCCTCTTCCTTATGGATTTCAGTATCCATCTCCAAAAGATAAGTACTTTTAAAAACGCAGCTAAAAAAAATGATCATACCTAAAAATTGTCTGGGCCCTCTAAATGTCAGCGACTACACATTTTTAGTCTGAAAGGAACTGCTATAACAGAGTGCCATAAACTTAACCCTTCGCCCCCACTGCCTTCCCCAGTGATCACAGATACACACCCTCTAAAGTACAGTAACTGGCTTCCCTGATAGTCCAGGGGTTAAGACTCTGTTCCCAATACAGGGGACACTGATTTGATCCTTGGTTGGGGTACTAAGATCCTACATGATGCAGCCAAAAAAAAAAAGTACAGAAAAATGTGCTTTTCTGATTATGTCCTTTATTGTCCCACGTGAGACTACTAACCGACTACTGGCTTTGCTTTTTTCTATTCTTCAGAGGCCAGCAGGAAAACCTACAGTGGGACAAGATGCTTTTTTTTCTTTTTAATGGGTTGCAGTGGTGGGAGCATCTCAGTAAGAGGGTTTCAGGAGTGAAGGATTTGGGTGCTATAAAAACCATTTAAAAGTCTCTCCTGCCTATAATGATGGCAGTTATGCTGAATGGCACAGATGATGACCAGTTACTGTGGAGAGAAATCGCAGCCCTCCCCCTTAGTACTTTTGTGCTTTCCCCATGCAGAGGAAACCTGTGTTGGGTGTATGCCTCCACCATTCATCCGGACTCTCATAACGGAACTTTAGGCCACGTCCAGCCCTTACTTGTCAGCAGAGAAGAACTGCATTCCAGTACTTCTCAAGATGAGTGATCTCTCTTCCCACCCTACCAAAAGAAGAAATGGAAGAACTGTCTGTAGAAGGATGATATTTGGAGATATATATACTATACCTAGGTCTTCATTGCTGACTCTCCATTTCTACTCTCATCACTGTCAACATCATTCTTTTTTGTTTCCTGGCTCTTTCATTTGCCATAAAGAGGGAAGGATCCAAATTTACCCAGAGTAAATGAGAGACAGAGTGGAGATTGTAAGCTCACTGTCAAAAGTAAACATAAACTTGGCTTTGAATACCAAGCATCAAAGAGATCAAGACTGTGACCCACCGACAACAGATGAGAGGCCAAAGAACACAGCAGAAGGACCAAGCTGAACTCTTCAGGCTGGGCAGCCTGGGGCAGGGCTGGGGGAGCGCGGTGAGAGTGATGAAGATTAAAAACGGTGGGGGCATCAGTAGGCTGCAGGTTAGTGGGGCTCCACTGGGGCACCTACCTAGAGAAGACAGCGTGGCACCCACAGGCTGCCCAGCCCTGCCGGAGTGAGCCGTGTCCTTCACAGGGGCAGCTGTTGAGCCAGCACACGTGACTGACCATTGGCATTCAGTTGAGGACAGCACTTCAATCCCAGCTCCTTATTCTTCTTGCACTTAGCTGTTTTAGCTGCTCTAAAGAGTTTGGGCTCCCTTAAAAAAAAAAAGAAATCCTAACACAGGCTACAACATGGACAAACCTTGAAGATATTATATAAAGTAAAATAAGCTTGGCATAAAAGGACAAATATCATATGATTGATTTATATGAGGGTCCTAGAGTAATCAAACTTGTAGAGAGAGAAAGGAGGAGAGTGGTTACTTGGGGGCCGAGGAGAGGGCAGGATTGGAAGTGAGTGCTCAGTGGGTGTTGGAATTTCAGTTATGGAAGATTAAAAAGATCTGGAGGTGGATAGCAGTGATGGTTGCACGACAGTGTGAAGGTACTAATGTCTCTGAAGTGTAAATTGTAAACTGGCACAGATGAACCTGTTTGCAGGGCAGGAATAGAGATGCAGGTGTAGAGAATGGACATGTGGATACAGGGAGGAAGGGGAAGTTAGGCTGGGAAGAACTGGGAGAATTTGACTGGCACATACACAATACCATGTGTAAAACAGCTCGCGAGTGGGAATCTGTTGTACAGTACAGGAGCACAGCCTCGTGGTCTGTGATGACCTGGAAGGTGGGATGGGGGGCTGCATGTAAGAGGGATAAGATATATGCATACGGGTGCATATGTATAACTGATTCACTTCGCTGTATAACAGAAACTAATACAACACTGTAGAGCAATTATAGTCCAATAAAAAAAATAGCTAAAATAGGGAATTCCTTGGCAGTCTAGTGGTTAGGACTTGGCGCTTTCACTGCTGTGACCTGGGTTCAATTACTGGCCAGGGAACTAAGATCCTGCAAGCTTCCCGATACAGCCAAAAACCAAAGGTTAATATGGTACATTTTAGTTTATGTGTATTTTAGTATAATTTTTTTAAAGGGCAGGGAGCCCTCGATATGTAACTATGCTGAGTTGCATGTATGCTCAGTCACGTCTGACTCTGTAACCCTACGGACTGTAGCCCACCAGACCCCACTGTCCATGGAGTTCTCCAGGCAAGAAGACTGCAGTGGGCTGCCTTTTCCTCCTCCGGGGCGTCTTCTGCACCTGGGGGTAGAACCTGTGTCTCTGCAGCTCCTGCATGGCAGGCAGATTGTTTACCACTGAGCCGCCTGCGAAGTCCAGTATGGAACCATAATATGCATTGAAATAACCAATAGTTATTTTAAATTTTTGTTCTTTTTAAATCCTGCATCCAGGGGAAATCTCCCAGGTGCTTCCCCCCAACTTAGGGCTCTGCTTGCTTGCACACCCAGTAAGTAAGCTTCATTCAACCTCTACCTGTGTGGTGGGCACCAAGTTACCTTCTCAGAATACAGTGATGGGTCTACAAGATGCTCACAGTTTAGTAAGGATTTGTCTCCTACTGGACCATCCATTCTTTAAGGGAAAAAGAGTAAAACAGGGACTTGGTGGTTCCAGTGGTTAAAAAGCCATCCTGCAATGGAGGGGAGGTAGGTTCCATCCCTGGTCAGGGAACTGAGATCTCAGATGCCACAGAGCAACTAAGCCCATGGACCTCAACTACTGAGGCCTCGAGCCACAGCTAGAGAGGCTGCGTTCTGCAACTAAAGATCCCACATGGTGCCGCTAAGACCCGCCACAGTCAAACAAATACAAACATAAATAAATAAATATTTATTTTTAAAAAAGAAGAAGAATACAACTTTTTTCTTCCTTGAATCACCTTCATCTGTGGAGTTACCATAGATAACAGTTGCTCTGGCCTAAAACCTGGGAAATAGTCGTGGCTTTTCTCTTTCCCTGTGACCCCACATCCAGACTTTGTCATGATTTCCGTCCAAATCCTTTCTCAAATCTGCCATTTCTCTGCCACCACCAACCTCAATACAACCTCAACACACCACCATGGCCTTCGGTCTGGCCTGCTGACTCATGTTTTGTCTTGCTACAATCCATTCCCCACCCAGGAACCAGAGAGATCTTAACTAAAAGAAAACATAGGAAGAATTGTGTCACCCTTCTGCTTAAAACTTCCCAGTGACATCCCACTGGGAACTGAACCCCAGCTTCTGACCCTGACTGCAAGGCCACACGCGCCCTGACCTCACCTTCCCTCCGATCACACTGCCTCCTCTGCCTTCTTCACTCCCGGCCCGGCAGCCCTGGGGCCCGGTGTTCCCGCGCGGGGACCTCTGCCCAGGCTGGGCACAGAGCTAGCCTTCAATAAAATATTCATTAGTGAATAAATAAGATATATAAGAAACATAAGCAAATCACATTCAAAGTAGGAAGTGATATCTGTTTGAAAAAAATGTGTGCTGTTGAATTCAGAGTCAGGAAAGACAGCTGAAAGTTTGTGTGCTTGTGTGTATGTGTGTGTGCGTGCATGTACATGTGTGTGGGGGCACGGAGAGAATCAAAGAAAGTTACAAGTAAATACATGTTCAAAATATATCCTGAACACATGCATTATATGTAAATCATATATATCTATTTGATACTTTGCCCTTTTTGCTCTCAAAGTTATACTTTAAATGTTGACAAATTTTTCCATTAAAACCTAAATAAATCAAGCAGTCTTCTCTCGGTCTTCATTCCTATTGAGATGCCAGGGAACATAGTTGTTTAAAAAGAGCTTCTAAATTTTTATGATTATAAAACTATGATTTATGAACTGGAAAGATGAAAGAATATGGTATAATGTGAGCCCATGTGAAACACTGGCGTGGAATTCAGAAGGCTTGAGTATGAGTGCTGCATTCTTGCGGACTTGATTTTGTCACTGCTTCACCAGGACTACAGTATCCTAGCTATAATATGCTGGTTTGGGCCGGATGACTTATTAGCACTATCAATCTCTGTTTATAGAGCATAAAATAATCTTCTCTGTATTGTATAAATATTTTTTCCTGCCTTCTAAATTTTGTCATGGGAAATTCTGAACAAGTAAAAAAGTTGAAAGAACAGTAAAAATGACCCCATGTGGCCATCACCAGCTTCCTGGCCACCCAGTTCCCAGCGCTGGCTGAAGTTGCTCTGTCTCTGCTCCTACCCACGCCCATGGCTATTTTGAAGCAAATCCCCAGACATCATGTGTTTCATCTGCCATTCTTTACTGGAAAAAAATTTTTTAAAGAGAAAGAGCAATTTTTAAATTTAGAGTCCCACAATGTCACATTTGCTCATATTTAGAAATTTAAGGACAAAGGGGCTACATGTAACAGGGTGACTGGAAATGGACCACAGTTTGATCAGAAGTGGTTTTAAGAGGCATGATGCCTAGCTGCTAGAGTTAAAGAAAAAAAAAGAAGATATAATTTTTTCCCAGAGTGTTCTTTGCATTTAAAAATAGTCTCCTGTGGCTATTTGTCAGCTTTAATTGAAGTGATCCTATGAATGGACGTGGGGATCAAAGAGAATCTGTGAGCCACAGGATGAAGGGAGGGTCGGGCCACAGTGATTTTCTGCTCCGGCCCCAGCTTTTGGAAGGCTGAGCACCTGGGTCTGCAAGGTCAGTCTGGCCTCCCCAAAATTGTGGGCAATCAGTGAATATGATAGTGTAGATTCCACGCAGGTTCATATTGTAAATTAAGCAAGTAAATTTGCAATACGGACCTATTGCAAAAGTTGCCAGGTCTAGCAAATAAAAATATGGGACGTCCAGTTGCATTCTAATTTTGGAATAACAGTGAGTCATTTTTTAGTATGAGTAGGCCCCAGATAATGCATGAGACATACTAAAATTTTAAAAAAATACTGTTTTTCTGAAACTTCTAATTGAACTGGACACCCTATATTCTATCTGACAGCCTTAATTACAAGGCATATGTTCCAGGTAACCTGGCTGCATAATGAAACTTAATGGCTTACAGCGACAAAAATTGTTTATTGTATCACATACTTTCTACAGGTAAGAAATTCAGAAAGGAAAGGGCATCGGGGGACAAATTCTGCCATTTCTGCTTCACCATGTCTGGGCCTCAGCAGGAAGATGGGAAGTGCCTGTATTTGGCAGTGGATGCCTGTTGTCAGCACTGCACATGGCTGTCGGCTGCAGTTCTCACGTGTGGGCTTCCCTACAATGCAGTAGCTGGTTTCCAAGGGTAAAAGTCCCTACAGTTATAACCAGGAAGAGGTCATATTGCTATTCATGACCCAACCTCAGTGTCCCTTTTTCCCCGTTTCAAAGGAAAGGGACATAGACCTGAACTGTCTTTGTCAGAGTGAGAAGAGTATGGGGGATGGGATTATATATTGATATTAATCCTTAAAAATACAGTCTTCCAGAGTACATGGTGTCATTTAGATATCTTGTACCTGACTGTTCATTTTCAAATACAGATAAACAAACATTCCAAAGATAACTTGGAATAAAGACTCTCTGTATGTTTTCTTTTCTTTTATATACTATTGGACAGC